CTCAATGTAAACTAGGACACTGGGCTACCTAGAAGACGTTTCATCTCACACGGTAGTTTTGAATCGGATGGAGAGAACCTGCAGAATGGAGTAAGGGCCAGGGATGCCCAGGAGCGGGAGAGGGACTTGTGTCATAAATCAGGGCCTGGGCTCAGGTCTGAGAGGAAAGCTCAAAGTGGGACTGGAGTTGCAAGCTGTAAGGGAGAAGAGGGCTGGTCAGGGGATGCCAACCTCCAGCAGACAAGTGTCCTGGGCCTGGGTGATGGATGTGGCACAAAGCCAGAGGGGAATGCTAATGAGATCCAAGATGATGGCACTGACTGCTACAAGGGGAGACCTCGCTCTGGTGGGAGCTCATTAAGCGGCATGTCCCACCTGCAGAGCAGCAGAGGAACCAGCTCCATGTCTATCCTCCCACAGAGCAACACTCATTCTCAGCTTGACACAAAGCCTCTTGACAGTCACACAGGCTTTTGTCCACCCAAAGAAACCACCATCACGAAGGAGTGTAGCTGTGGAGAGATGGATGAATCTGAAAATTTAGAGAAGATCCCTGGAGTGTGTGCGACAAAGGCTGCAGCTGCAGTTCAGAATTTGAAGCTGAGCTCTTTGTTCAGCAGAGTTTCTTGGATTGTCCAGGATGCAGGACGTCTGCTTTGGAGCTCTTCCACTGTATTGCAGCAAGTCACAGAATTCAGATTTCAACCTGTTGGGGCTCGCTGGTCAAACAATTTTATCTCTCTGGTAAGAGAAAGCAGTGTTCTGTCTATTTTAAGGGATAGCCGTGTCTTCTCCACATTTAGAAGCAGCTTTATCTTCTCTCTGTTAAAGGACAGTCACATTTTTTCCGTGGTGAAAGAGCTGCCTCTCATACAGCACGTCCAGATGGATATAATTCAACCCCTTCAATCTGAGGAGGCTGCTCAGATGATTCAAGGCTGCATTAATCCTGAAAACGCACAACTCCCTGTCCCGACCCCAACACAAAGTATTGTGTATAAATCTATGCCCATAAGACTCACTTCTTCCCTTGTAAAAGGGG